GGAAAAACTTTAGCTAGATGGCAGCTAAAGTTTCTGCGTAGGTGATATGTGCTAAGTGCTCTGTTTGACCAACTCATCCTGACCTCCGTCGCAGCTAGTTTGATCTTTTAGCTCATTTACAGCCAAAACAATTTTTTCATTACTGTGCATTTTTTCCATGAATTTATGAGACGCGAGGATTACTAACAAGGAGGCTATCAAATGACGTGCGGCTCTGGTCACAACAGCTATCAGAAAGATGCGAAAGCATGCCACAAGATGATGGCGGCTAATCAAAGTACCAATAAAAGGCACACTGGAGGCGTATTGCGTTGGTTGCTTCTGCTTCTGTATGGTTTTAGCTTGTTCCGCTCAGTTCCCGATTAATTTTGCAAATAACAAACGTGGTAAAACTGGATCAAACGAAAAAATTCTGTGGCAGATAATTTGGAAAAGATCTTCGGTGCATTGAAAAAAAATGGCGACTAAATACCAGCTAATAGGTGGTTCGAAAGCTATAGTACTAGAAAAGCTCAGGATGAAGGTACGCCATATGCCCTTCTGATGCAAAACAATTTAAGAAAATCTTCCTGTAGAAAGATTTTGCTCATGAAAAGCAAAAATCCAGTAGTTTAAGAAAACGGTTGTTGATTGGCGCTAAATGTGAGCAAATAACTGAAAAGCGCTATATATGAGACATACCGCTTCACTGGATGTGAGCAGCAGCGACTGGCATGGCGAATTGGATCCAGGATTGGTGAAGTTCAGATTGAAACACGTCTCACCGGGAACCATGCTCATAGTCCTCCTTTCCTGTTTTGAAACTAATCAAGCAATGAAGTGAAACAGCAGCACGCAGAGGGACCAGTACAAGACGAGGACGCCAGTGGAGAAGGAGGAGAAGGAGGAGGAGACTCCCACCTGCAATTGAGGATGCGCTTGCTCCGCTGTCCCGATTTAGACAGAGACTAGCTGACTGACGACTAACTGGATAGCAACAGCAACAGCAGCGGCACTCCCGCTCGAGCTGCACAGGAGGCTACACAGATCTGATCCAGTGATCATCCGGATAAGAAAAGACAAACGGATCCACAATTTGGGAATTGAATTGAGGGACAGCGTGCCGGAGAGAATTAGAGAGGAAAAGCTGGAGCTAGCTACTGCTGCAGTTGTTGAACAAGGAGAGCGAGTAGGCACGGGGGGCGGATCCCGTAGCTTTTCCTGCTGAAGCAGCGGCAGTAGCAGCCATTTTGAATGAGCGCAGTAGCAGGCTAAGGCAAACTTGACTGACTATTGTCGTCATCGAGCACAAGCACAAGCGGCACCCTTCCCGACGACGGCGAGGAGGAATGCAGATGTCAATTCCAAATTCACTTCCAACTAAAACTGGAGAGAGGAGAAGATGAGTTCCTGCCCCCTCACACAGCACCTTCAGTCGCTTTCTAACAACAACTAGTACTCTTACCTTTACGGTGCACACCACCCTCTTCGGCCTTATTCTTACAGTCCCCGGGTATTAGTCACCTGTTTAGTCCCTCCGGGCTTTTCAAGAGACGGTAGACACAAAAACCGCGCCGCCTGAGCGCTGTAACTTTGGCTGAATATCTAAGGCCCATCAGCCTGCGACGGATGCACATGCACAAAAACACACGAACAGCAGCAGCAAGAAGAATCAAGGAAGAGGCACGAATGGAAATGCACAGTGGCCAAACTTTATCGAATGTGCAGTGTGGAGGCATTTAGACGTACACTAAATTTCGCGGTGATTTTGAAGATGCAACTTCCTTCCGACAAAAACTGAAGGGAAACTCAA